TGTGCTCCCTCTGCTGCTGGCAGCCCGGGTTCGGATCCTGGGCGCACACCGAGGCACCGCTTGTCAGGCCATGCTGTGGCAGTGTCCCACATAACGTGGAGGAAGATGGGCACAGATGTTAGCCCAGGGCCAGTCTTCCTCAGCAAAAAAAAGAGGATTGGCAGATGTTAGCTCAGGGCTGATCTTCCTCACAAAAAAAAAAAAAAAAGGAGTAGCTAATCAGCTTTAAAGTGATTAGAAATAAGAAAAAATGTCCTTTTGTTCACGTTTATTTTTATTATTTTCAGCACTCTCCATTTGTTTGGTTAGTTCCAAGTTTTAGGTCCAAGTTTCATTTGGTATGTGCCTTCTGCCTGAACAACTTCCTTTAACTTAATTTCTTGCAATGTAAGTCTACTGGCCATAAGTTCTCCCAGCTTTTGTTTGTCTGAAAAATCTTTTGCCTTCATTTTTCAAAGGTATTTTCACTGGATGTAGAATTCTGGGTTGACTTTTTGTCCTTAGAGATGTTACCTTTATCTTTGGTTTTAAAAAATTTGACTATAATATATTTAGAATATGTATGTTTCTTTTTGGTATTTACTTTCATTTCAGGTTCACTGAGCTTACTGAATCTGTGGTTTGATGTTTTTCTCTATTTTTGCGAAGTTATTGTCTATCTCTTCACATATTTTATCTGTTCCTTGTATCTCTCCCTTCTCCTTTTGAGACGATAGCTACACATATTTTAGATTATTTGATACTGTCTCACAGCTCTTTTATTCTTCGTTGAATTTTTCTAATTCGTTTTGCTCTATGTTTTTTAGTTCGGGTCATTTCTATTCACCTGTTTTCAAATTCACTAGTTTTATTCCCTCAGCTGGGTCCAGTCTCCTTGAGCCTGTCAAAGGAATTATTCATCTCTGACATCATGTTTTACATTTCTAGCATTTCCATTTGACTCGATTTCTCTGCTGAAGTTCTTCTTCTCTTTATTCGTGTTGTCCATCTTTTCCACTAGAAGCTTTATCATTTTAATCAGAGTTATTTTAAAGTGCCTGTCTGATAGTTCCAACATATGAGTCATCTCCGAGACTGGTTCTATTAATTGCCTGACCTCTTGACAGTGAGCTGTTTTCTTTGTCTTTTAGTGTGTCTCATAACTTTTGATCAAGTGCTGTATATCATATTTAGAATAATAGACTGAGATAAAAAAAAAATATGTTTGTATATATACCTAAAAATGGCCGTGCCTCTAATTCTCTTAGGCTGTTAGTGTGGGAGAGTGAGTCAGTCTGGTCAGGAGTTGAATTGGGCTTGGGTTTTGTTAAATGTTTGGGTCTGTGCCTTCAGCACATCACAGGTTTCACGTTCCTTTGGTAATGGGCTGATGTTACATTGTGCTTAGAGTCGGGGTTTAGGTGCGGAAGGGTTTTTCTCTTTGTCCCTGCTCACCCTCTCAGCTTTCACTGTATGCCTGCACCAGAGCAGGCGTCTCCCTCCACACTTTTGCTCTTCCCTGAGAGGGAGCCTGCTGCTGCATGTTACTCATGGTGGGGGCAGGTGGAAAGTGGGGGAGGGGATGTCTGTTGTCCTTAGGTAGGCTCTGTGTTGCTATACCTTAAGGATGGGGCTTTCTCGGAGTTTTGACCCTTCCTCAGCATCAATGGATCTTTGCCTGATGGGGGCAGAGGAAGTGTTTCCTACACATCAACCAGAGGCAGAGGGATTTGCTTCTGCTCTTCATATCCCGAAGTAATGGATGTTTGCCTGTGCCTTGGGGGGCGAGAGGGTTAGCAGGAAAGAAGAAAACAATCATGGTATACAGTGAGATCCACATTTGGGTAGAGTTTACATAGTCATAATCATGCAAACATTGAATATTGGTCTGAACAAATATTATGCTATAACTATGTTGGGAGGTTGTGAGGATAGAAGTATTTCTGCTTGGGGTAGGGGTGTTAAATGATGAGTTAAATCCACATCTTCCACAGTGTGAGGTCAATAGTTAAAGCCTAAGACTGAAAAACTGAAAATGTCAATATAAGCATGTTATTTAGAAATTTAGGTAAACGTTACATCAGCTTAGAAAAGTTGAAAATGTTTGCTTCTAAGAAGCGCAAAACGAGTGGGAGGAGGGGAGTCTCTTGGGTTATCTTGAGACGAGATGGGAACAACACAAGGGTGTGGATGACAGTGGGAGAAAATGGGCACTCGCACATAATGGTGGAGGGGTTATAACTGGTATAACCTGCAAAAGAGGTCAGTAGAGCCTTCCATCAAAATTCCAAATTCAGTTCTGACTTCTGGTCATTTGTACTACAGATATGCCAGCAAATTTTTTCATTTCAGCCTTGTATGAAATCAGACTAGAAACAATCTGAATGTTACCAGTAAGGAATGGTGGTAACAGCCATACAATGGAATACTGTTTAGCCGTCAAAGAAAAAGGAGGCTCTTTATGTGCTGCTGTGGAGTGATCCTCCAGGTATATTGCTAAGTGAAAAAGCAAGCTGCAGAACAGTATGTGTTGGTATACTACCATTTCTGGAAGGAAAAAAAAAGCAGAGATGAACAGCAGTGTGTCTGTTGGTTTAATATGCATAGATGGTCCCCAGAAGATTACCCAGGAGACTGGCAATAGTTCCAGTTCCAGCTTCCTTCTAGGAAGGTGAACTTGATGGCTTAGGGATAGGGGTGGGAGGAAGGTTTTTCATTGTACACCCTTTTATGTCTTTTGAATTTTATACCATTTGAGTTACTTAACCCATATAAAGTTTTAAAAATAAAATTACAAGAATCCTTAAGTATGTTGAGCTATCCACATGGAAAACAAATCTAACTTGATGTATTCCCTAATTTCCATCCTTTACTGTAAGTTCCAAATGGATTAAAGGAGTAAAGGAGAGAATCAAAATTTTAAGACCTTTAAAATATGTTTATGATATTAGGGTGGGAAAGGTTGTCTTAAACAAGACACAAAAGCATGTATTAAAAAGGGGGAAAAGAGATTGATAAAGTTAATTTGACAACATTAAAATTAAAAACTGACATAAAACACCATAAATGTAGTGACATGACAATCAGACTGAGAGAAGACTGTTGTAACATAATTATCAAAGTTTTAGTATCCAGATTATATAAAGATACCCCTATGAATCAATAAGAAAAAAAGATAAAAACACCCCAGTTGAAAACATGCAAAAACATGAACAGGCAGTTCACAGGAGAAAACTGAACTGTGAAAAAAAAAAGTCAATGGGCCGGCCCCGTGGCTTAGTGGTTAAGTGCGCGCGCTCCGCTGCTGGCGGCCCGGGTTCGGATCACGGGCGCGCACCAACGCACCGCTTCTCCGGCCATGCTGAGGCCGCGTCCCACATACAGCAACTAGAAGGATGTGCAACTGTGACATACAACTATCTACTGGGGCTTTGGGGGGAAAATAAATAAATAAATAAAATTATGGAAAAAAAAGTCAATCTCCTTAGTAATCAGGCGAAAACAAAAAACACGTCACTATTTCATACCCATTCAGTTGGCAAAAGTCTAAAAATATGACAGTTCTGAGTTTGGATTGGAGTGTGGGGAAATGCACATTGTGATATTATACTTTTGGTGGAAGTATAAATTATTCCACTTTTGAGAGCAATTTGGTGATATCAATAAAATTGAAAGTATGTATACCTTCAAGAAATCCTTAGACATCTGCACAAAAGACAGGCAGAAAAATATTTTTTGCAGTACTGTTTATATTAACAAACTTTTGGAAATAACTAAAATATGGCTATCAGAGTAAGTTGTGGCAAATCCATAACAGGAATGCTAGGTATTATTTAAATCATTTCCTTAACAGAATAGTAGTGACTTGGACCATGGATTCCAGACCCAGGCTTCAGGGTTTGGATCCCAGCGTCACCACTGGCCAGCTGTCTGACTTGGGACAGATGATGAACCTCTGGGTTATGGTTTCCTCATTTGTCAAATGGAAACAGTGGTACTTAACCTCTTAGGAGTTTGGGAAAGATGAAGTGAGTCACAAAACAGTGCCTGACACACTCAGCATCAATAAAAATGAGCTATTGTTTTTTAGCATATATCAACATGAGTAAGTATGTAAAACATTAGGAGGTTTTTTTTTAAAAGCAAGGTGCAGAATATTAATACAACATATGCCATTTATGTAAATTTGTGTCCACAGAAACTATGTTGTTTATGAATATATACATTTATAGTAAAGGTATAAATACATAGATAGGAAGGATGTAACTAGATTCAGGGTAGTGTTAGTCTCTTAGGAGTAAAAGAGGGAAATGGAATTATCAGGGAAATGGCTGGAGCTTCAAATATTTCTAATGTTTATTTATTTAAAATAGACCTAAAATAAATATAACATCATGTTAATAATTTATTAAATAGTCTACACATGGGTGCCAGTTGAATTAATCTCTACGTTTCTGTGTGTTAAATTTCATAATTTGAAATTTTAAAAAGAGAAACCTTCAAAAATATAATGAATTAAGAGAACTTGTTTTCTTTTCCATAAACTCTTTTTCTCTTTTTGTAAAGTGGAAATATATTTATTGTTCATTTTGATACAAAAATACATACTTATAAATTCAAATGAAAATACTTATGTAAAGTAGACGGTGTGAATATTCCTACATCCCCAGAAATAACTATTATTTACAACTTGCTCTATATCCTTTCTGATCTTTTTAGACATAAATACATGTAATTTAAAAATTTTTCATAGCTAGGATTACACTTTACATGCTGTTTTTTAATCTGTTTTTTTCATGTACCAATACACCATGAGCGTCTTTCCATTTTAACATGGTGTATGGAACTTTAACCTCATAAATTACATTTCTGGACATTATTTTAACAAAGGCTATATTATCCTGTGATAAGACTAATTTGGATAGAAAGGGTGATGATGTCGACAATCTCAAAATTTTTCTTACCTTAGAGTTTTATAGTTTTAGAATTTTAATGTAGATTATTTTCTGTTTTTTTAAAAGACATTATTGCAAGAGCATCTCAAGCAGACGTCGTTATAATCGTGATTTGGAACAGGATGAAGCGTTTATTCCAGTTGGAGAATCATTAAAAGACCTTATTGACCAGTCACAGAGTTCTGGTAGTGGATCTGGACTACCTTTATTGGTAAGATAAAATGTCATATACACATGAACGTTTTATTGATAAAGAATGTGTCCTCGTATGATGGTAGACAGCAATGGTTATTACAGATTAGGGAATATTACTAGACATTTTTTTCCTTTTTATTTAGAAAGATGGTTGCAGTAATGCAAGATGAAATTAAGTAAAAACAAGAAATACGAAATGAAAAAAAATAGATAGGCAAGTAAGATAGAGCCATAAGCAAGGTTAGGAAAGAAAATGTGGTCGTGAAGTGCTATGTAAGTCTTACAGTTAGCTGCAAGTTTTGCTTTTTATAGCCAACTTGAAGAGGAATCAAGATTCCTTGCATCTATAGGTTAAACTGATTGCTTGGGAGAAGTGTAACTACTTCAGATTCTAAAATTGAGGGGAACTTATCCCCACAGATCTCCATAGAGGTGATACTTCCCTCAATATATTACTGTATTACCAAACACAATTCATAAAAATTATTTTAAAGTGAGTTGTAAGCAGTTCTAAGAGGGTTATATATATGGAAATATTCAGATTTAGGGGTCAAGAGGACCCTTCTAATAAACACTAGATATCCAGATAGATTTTTAATTTGTTTAATTGCAGTTGTTTGTTTAATTTTTGTTTAATTACGTTTGTTTAAAATAAATACATTGACTTCTAAAAATTCATCAAATTAAATAATTCCGTAATTGAATTGGAAAGGTTAAAGTAAAACTATCTTCATATGTGGACAACATGGTTGTCTACATAGAAAATCTCAAGGATGATATAAAGCTACAACAACCAATAAGTGAGTTTATCAGGGTTACAGAATATAAAGTCATTGAACAGAAATCCTTAAATTTATATACACTGGCAACAAACGATTAGAAATTGAAATTTAAAAAGCAGTACCATTTAAAATAGCATCAAAAACATGAAATATTTTGGAATAAGCTTAACAAAATTTATATAAGACCTGTACACTGAAAATCAGAAAACACTGCCAAAAGAAATTAACAAAGCCCTAAATAAGTGGAGATGTATTTCCTGTTTGTGAATCAGAGGACTCCATATTAAGATTTCAGTTTTCCTAAAATCAATTTATAGTTTCAATTCAGTCCAAATCAAAATTAGAGCAAAGTTTCATAAAAATTGATGAGCTGATTCTAACGTTTATGTGGAAATGCAAAGGACCTAGAAGAGCCGAAACAATTTTGAAAAAGAATAAAGAGATTTCACTGCCTGATTTCTGGACTTAATGTAAAGCTACAGTCATCAACACAGTGTGGTCCTGGCATAAGGATAAGTATGTGTTTCAGTGGAACAGAATAGAGAGTCTAGACAAGGACACACATATATATGATCAATTGATTTGGGTGCCAGAGTAATTCAGTGGGGGAAGGACAGTCTGGCATCCATTTGCCAAAAATTGAATCTTTGACGCTTACCTCACTCCATGTACAAAATTACCTTGAAATGGATAATAGACCTAAGTGTAAAGGTTACAGTATAAAACCTTTAAAAGAAAATGTTTTAGAAAATCACTGTGACCTGAAACTAATATAATATTCTATGTCAACTATACTTTAGTAAAAAGCACACACATGCAAAGAAAGAAAATCATTGTGACCTTGGGTTGAGCAGATTTCTTAGAACACAAAAAGCATGATTCTTTTCTTTTTCTCCTTTTCCTTCCCAAAGCCCCAGTACCTAGTTGTATATTCTAGTTGTAAGTCATTCTCGTACTTCTATGTGAGCTGCTGCCACAGCATGGCTACTGACAGACGTGTGGTGTGGTTCCGTGCCTGGGAACCGAACCCGAGCCACTGAAGCAGAGCTCGCCAAACTTTAACCGCTAGGCCATCAGGGCTAGCTCATGATTCGTTTTAAAAAATGATAAATTGGGCTTTCTCAAAAATTTGAAACTTTTCTTGTTCGGAAGACACTGTCAAGAAAATGAAAAAGCAGGTCACAAACTGGCAAAGCAAATCTGATAAAGAATTTGTGTTACAGAATATATAAAGAACTTTTACAATTCAGTAATAAGACAACCCAATTTTTAAAAATGGACAAAAGATTTGAATAGACACTTCCCCAAAAGAAGATATAAGAATGGCAAATAAGCACATGAAAAGATGCTCAGTATCACTGGGGAAATGCAGATTAAACACAATGAGATACTACTGCACATCCACTTGTATGGCTAAGACTGAGATATTAAGTACTGAAAAGGATATAAATAAATCAACTGGAAATGTCATACATTGCTGATTGAAATGCAAAATGGTATAGCCACTGTGGGAAATGGTTTGACGGTTGACTGAAAAGTTAAGCATATACTTTCTGTACAATAATGCAGTGCTTCTGCTAAGTATTTACCAAAGAGACATGCAGACATGTCCCCACAGAGACCTGAGTGTGAATGTTCCTAGCAGTTTTATTCATAATAGACATAAATTTTAAACAACCCAAAGTCCATCAGTTGGTAAATGGATAAACAAATTGTGGTACCTACAGTGGAATACTAGTTATCAATAAAAAGGAACAAACTACTGATATATGCAACAACAACCCAGATGAATTTCAAGGCATTTTGTGCTAAATGAAAGAAGCCAGGCACAAAGGGCTACATATTGTATGTTTCCATTTATGTGATAGTCTAGAAAACACAAAACTGTAGGGACAGAAGATGGATGAGTGATGCCAGGGATTGAGAGGTAGGTGGGGAGGGAATTGACTATAAAGAGGCAAGAGGGAACTTTGGGTGATGGAAATGTTTTATATCTTAATTGTGGTTTTATTGGTTATGTGACTGTGCACATTTGTCAAAACACTTCTCAAAAAGAGTGAACCTTATTATATACAAATTATACCTCAATAATCCTGACTTTCTAAAAGAATTATAAAAGGATTCTGGATTAAATGACTTACATAAAGTAAGTCAGTTTAGGTATGCACAAAATCTAGCCCACTTTAAGTGCATTTCGAACCTGGTCCTTAGTGTTCTTCTTAATTTAGAATGACCGCTAACACTTTTGAAACTGAAAGGTTTCGGTTAATGTGCATCTTTCATTCAACAAATATTAATGAAAGCACTTATTATACTTCAGATATTGTCCTAAACAAACACCTGTATTCTGTGAGCGGAGGGGATGGGATTCAAACAAATACGTAAATAAGTGATAAAATTATAATTGTGGTAAGTGCAGCAACTGAGAAGTATATATGTGCTATGAAGATGTTTAACGGAGAGAAACAACGCTCTTAAGTAAAGGGAACTGCATATGCAAAAAAAGACTGAGACAGGAATGAGCTTGAGTGAATTCTAAAAGTTGAAAGAAGGTGAGTAAGAGAGGTGAGGGGGAGTGATAGTGAAGGATGAGGCTGTAGAATTAGACAGGAGCCAGATCAAGTAGGGTCTTATAGACTGAGTTTTAACTGTCATTTAGATTTTGCTACATAATAAACCACCCCAAAGCTTAGTGGCTTGAGACAACAAACATTTATTTCTCATGATTCTGTGGGTCTGCTGGGCAGTTCTTTTTCTGAACTTGCTCAGCTAGAGCTAGATTGTATGGTTTGTGCACACGGCCGACAGTTCACATGGTATTGTTATTGGTCACAGAGTTCCCCAGAACAGCAAGAAAGGGCAAGCCCCAGTGCACAAACACTTCTCAAGTCTTCACTTGCATCACATTTGCTGTTGTTCTTTTGCCCAAAGCAAGTCATATGGCCAAGCCCAGCATCTGTGGAGGAGACTACCCAAGGGTGTGTGTACTGGGAGAGGAGTTATTTTGACCATTTTGGCAAACAGTCTGCCACGTTGACTAACCTGTTAGTTTGTGATTTCAGAATATACTGTGCATTGTTTCATCTACTTTTCAGTACATGATCAATTTTAACATTGGAGTTGGTTGGTTGTGTGTACCATCCTTTTTGATGGGTGGGCTATGAGACCACTTTCTCAGTCTTAATAGGTTCTTTTCATCAAGAACTCAAAACATTTTACTTTTTTCTATGAAGGTTCAGCGAACTATTGCCAAACAGATTCAGATGGTTCGGCAAGTTGGTAAAGGCCGATATGGAGAAGTGTGGATGGGTAAATGGCGTGGTGAAAAAGTGGCAGTCAAAGTGTTTTTTACCACTGAAGAAGCTAGCTGGTTTCGAGAAACGGAAATCTATCAAACTGTGCTAATGCGCCATGAAAATATACTTGGTAGGTACACATTTGATTTCAGTCAATTCCGTATTCTGACAAGGTTAGTGGGATGCGGGTGGAAGCCTGCCACATGGACTTGTAAAAACATATGTAGATTTATTTGTGTGCATTTGGCTAAAGGAAACCCAGTAGAATCCACTGTTTAAATACAACACAGTCCTGAATGCCAGCCAACCACTTTATTTACTACCCAACTGAGGAAACAGCACTGAGTTTCAAATTGGAAGCAATGCTAGTTTATTAGACTTACTCATATAATAACAAAAACCAGGTCTTTCATAGGTAATTGAAGCAGTTTTCTAGGATAACTTTATATGTATCTTTTGCCTTCTGTAAGCTAAATCACCCTCCCCCCCATAAGATGTAGTTTCATTTATGTTCTATGCTTAATAGGTCTCTCCCTCCCTCCCTATTTATACAATTGCAAAATAATTTAGGTATAATCTGATCAGTAGGGTTCATAAACTCGTCTAGCTTTCCTGACTTTACTTTTCAGCTGCTATTTCCCTACCCTTTAATTTAGAGAGTGCATATAGCACATTGCCAAGAGTAGAGTAGGCACTTGTATCAGTTTCCTAGGGCTGTCATAACAAATTACCACAGACGGGGTGGCATTTTGGAGTCCAGAAGTTTAATCAAGGTGTTGGCAGGGCCTTGCTCTCTGAGGGCTGTAGGGGAGGACCCTTCCTGGCCTCTTCTTCACTTGTGGTGATTGCCAGCAATCTTTGGCTTTCCTTGACTTATAGACAACACTCCTATGTCTCTCTGTCATCACATGGCCTTCTCCCCTGTGTGCCTGTGTCCAAATTTCCTTCCTCCAGTTGAATTAGGGCCCACCCTAATCTTGTATGAACTCATCTTGATTATATCTACAAAGACCCTATTTCTAAATAAGGTCACATTTACGGGTACCAGGTTGACGTGAATTTGGGAGGGCCACTGCTCAACCCAGCACTCACTGACCTTTTTCTGAAAGGAGAGAGGGAAAGAAAAAGGAGAAAGGAGGCCAGTGTTGCAGACCTGCTCAGTCAGCAAACTAGACTGAAAAGGCAGTTGTGATGAGTCATTTGTGGGCAAATGGGAGTTGGGTAGTTAGGAGCAAACTGTTAGTTGAACATTTTTAACTTTATTATTTTAATGTGTCCACGTTTCAATTTAAAATTGAGAACGTTTTCCACATTCCTTGTTTATAGTTCTTCATGCGTAGAGAATCATGTAGCTTGATAACATTCCCCCGGGTTGTTATATATGTTTTCTTTTTCTTAGTCATATTATCATTTTCATGATTATTGTTAAGATTATTTTAAATTTATTGCAGAAATGTATAGAGTTATATGTGTAAATTGCAGAAATAAAAATTTTGGTAACACATTCAAGAGATTTTGTCAGGCAAGTAAAATTTTTGTTACCTGTATATGATACCTGAGTTATTCTCAATATCCTGAATGAGCATTCCTTATTCTTCCCGGCTCTTTCTGATAACTGACCTTTTAAACTCATTAACTGAACAGGTTTTATAGCAGCAGACATTAAAGGTACAGGTTCCTGGACTCAGCTTTATTTGATTACTGACTACCATGAAAACGGATCTCTCTATGATTTCCTGAAGTGTGCTACACTAGACACCAGAGCCCTGCTCAAGTTGGCTTACTCGGCTGCCTGTGGTCTGTGCCATCTCCACACAGAAATTTATGGCACCCAAGGAAAGCCTGCAATTGCTCATCGAGACCTAAAGAGCAAAAACATCCTCATCAAGAAAAATGGAAGTTGCTGTATTGCTGACCTGGGCCTTGCTGTGAAATTCAACAGGTGAATGGTTCTTTGCATACTGTTTTGAAATTATTTTAATTTCCAGAAGATATTTGCCTATTTGTATTCAAGACAGTGGAATTCTAAACACGTGTTTGTGCTTGTATAGTTATATAAATATATAGTTGGGGTTTTTGTCTTGTTTTTTTACAAAAATTGCATCCTACTCTACATAATTCATTTTTTTTTAACGAGGAAGATTAGCCCTGAGCTAACATCTGATGCTAATCTTCCTCTTTTTTTTTGCTGAGGAAGATTGGCCCTGGGCTAACATCTGTGCCCATCTTCCTCTACTTTATATGGGACACCGCCAAAGCATGGCTTGACAAGCAGTGCATAGGTCCATGCCCGGGATCCGAACCTGCAAACCCTGGGCTGCTGAAGCAGAGCATGTGAATTTAACCACTACACCACCAGGTCAGCCCTCTACTCTACGTAATTCTTGATTTTCTGTTTTATTGTCCTTGACATCTTTCTGTTTCAGTTTATATGGATCTGCTTCATTCTTTTTAACAAAAGTGTTGATGCAAAGCTTTCCATAATATGAATGTACTACAGTTTATCCCATCTATGACCCAAGTGATGGACATTAAAGTTGCCTCCAGTTTATCTCTATTAATAAAAAAATGCTTTAATGAACATTATATTTTATCCATATATAATATCCTTGAGCATTTGTATAGTATTTCTTTTTTTAAGATTTTATTTATTTATATTTTTTTCCCCCCAAAGCCCCAGTACATAGTTGTATGTCATAGCTGCACATCCTTCTAGTTGCTGTATGTGGGACGTGGCCCCAGCATGGTCGGAGAAGCGGTGCGTCGGTGCGCGCCTGGGATCCGAACCCGGGCCGCCAGCAGCAGAGCGCACGCACTTAACTGCTAAGCCACGGGCCCGGCCCCTGTATAGTATTTCTTGACGATGGATTCCTAGAGAAGGGGCTACTTAGACAAAGAGTATGTACATATTAAATTATGATATATTACAGATTGTCCCTTTAGAAAGCGTGCATCAATTTATACTCCCATAAACAGGGTATAAGTATGCCATTTCTCCATCACCACTGGATGTCGTCAATATTTTTAAATAATTAGAATTATAAAATTTTGGGGAAACCACTGAAACCATCTAGAATACAGCAGCCATTTAACATTTGAGAATTCATTTCAGGCCATAAAATAAAAGTAATAGTTAATAATAAAACAAATGTAAAAAAATTTTTTAATCTTCTTCCCTAATTGTTACAGTGTTCTTATCCTGTTGTTTTTTTATCAGTGTAGTGTTTATTGGTTCAAATGGTCATCAAATGCTATATAAGAAAATATGAAGTACATTATATTGATCTCTGCCTCAGAGTAGTTTCTAGAACCTGCCAGAACTGGGGACCTAACCAAGAAAGCATTCATGTCTTCCAACTCCAAAATTTAGTCCAAAAATTGAAAAACCAATAAACATCACTTATTACTGATTGTCAATATGATTATGTAAACATTACTCACAACAGAACTAAGTTGGTTGGACCCATAGAGAAGACAATGTAATCCTATGTCACGAAGGCTGAGTTTATCACATGAGAAAGGTAAAAGCAAATGATTCCTCTCAAATTATTTTCACGTTCACTTGTTCTGGGACATAATTATCTACTACTTTTTTTTGTATGCAGTATTGTCCTCTTTTTTGTGGAGGCACCAAACTTATTTGGTGAAAAAACCTGACCTGAAGTAATGTGAGATATTTATTGTCTTTATTTATCCAGCTTAGTGTGGATATTCATATTTAGTTTTTCACTGCAGACATAGTAATGAGTTTGATTCAGCGTACTGCTCCAGAGCCAGCCCTGATGGTCTAGTGGTTAAAGTTCGGCATGCTCTGCTTCTGTGGCCCAGGTTCACGGGTTCAGGCCCCAGGCACAGACCTACACCACTTGTCAGCCATGCTGTGGCAGTGACTCACGTACAAAATAGAGGAAGATTGGCACAGATCTTGGCTCAGAGCTAATCTTCCTCAAGCAAAAAAAGAGGAAGATTGGCAACAGATGTTAGCTCAGGGCGAATCTTTCTCAGCAAAAAAAGAAAAGAAAGAGTACTGCTCCAGACCCTGCTGGGTGGTGATGTTATATAATATGTAGCATATATTTAAAGGGTATATTACTTTTCTAAAAACTAAAAGATGCTAAATTTCAAAATACATCTATCTGCCCCAGTGATTTCTAATAAGGGAATGTAGAGATTTTAGATCGATAGATAGCTTTTTATTTCATATATAATATATATATAGAGAGAGATTGACTTTTACAAAATATGACAAAAATAGAAGATAAACTATTTTGTTCTTAGCCCTCAACCTGGACATTGTCTGTCCTTTGTTGCAGTGATACAAATGAAGTTGATGTACCCTTGAATACCAGGGTGGGTACCAAACGCTACATGGCTCCAGAAGTGCTAGATGAAAGCCTGAATAAAAACCATTTCCAGCCCTACATAATGGCTGACATCTATAGCTTTGGCCTGATCATTTGGGAAATGGCTCGTCGTTGTGTCACAGGAGGTAGGAGTTTAAGTAGCTTGTTTCTGGTTATGTTTCTATCCTCATCATTCAAAAAATAACAGCTTCTTTTATATAATTTAAATGTCATGTATATCTGGGACCCCCAAGACCACTCCCAGGTTCTGTGATTTCACTAGAGGCACTCGCAGGACACGGCGTGTGGTTGTCCTCACAGCTAACGTGTTAACAGTGAACAGATACAAATCAAAATCAGCAGAGGGGAAAGGTGCATGGGGCAAAGTTCAGAGGAAATGGGACACAAGCTTCCAGAAGTCCTCTGCCAGTGGAGTCACACAGGGAGTGCTTAATTCCTCCAACACGTTGTGACAATGTGTGAAATACTGTCATCCAGGGAAGTTATTAGAGACTCAGTACTCAAAGATTTTATTGGTGGCTGGTCATGTGGGCACCCTCTCTGCCTGGCGTGTACCAAAATTCTAAACTCCCAGAAAGAAAGCAGATGTATCAGTGAGGGAACTGTTCACCAGGCAAGTTCCCAGACGCCAGCCGAGGGCCAGCCTTGCAAGCAGGAGTTTTTGAGGACAGCATTCTCAGGCCTGCTGTGTCAACTCTAGTTAGCATATCGTGTTATCTTTCTACTGCAGAAGAAAGCAAAACAAAAAATAAAAACTGTGTTGATTAGTAGCAACAATTGTGTGCTTGAATAATTAGATTAAATATTAGGGTAAAAGAGCATTTCACCTTGCTTTTTTTTTTTAGGGATATTGGTATGTCCATAGCTGTGATGGGGACCCTGATGGAGGTTGAGGAAATAATTAGACATTAAAAAAGAGAAGAACATATATTTACTATTAAAAGTGAATCATCCACTCTAATTTTTTTCTTCTTTGTGTAGGAATCAGTTTTAGTTCCATAGTTCAGTAAGAGATGCTGGATAGATTGATATATTTTGCCCAGCTACCATTTCTGTGCCCACTATGTTTTCTAACTCCCTACAGGGATAGTAGAAGAGTACCAACTGCCATATTACAACATGGTACCCAGTGATCCATCATATGAAGATATGCGTGAGGTTGTGTGTGTCAAACGTTTGCGGCCAATTGTTTCTAATCGATGGAACAGTGATGAAGTAAGTGGAACTCAGTCTTCTGGAAAAGTGATTGGTGAGTGTCACCAAAGATATTTACCTGCTCACTATATTCTCTTTACTTTTCAGTGTCTACGAGCAGTTTTGAAGCTAATGTCAGAATGCTGGGCCCACAATCCAGCCTCCAGACTTACAGCTCTGAGAATCAAGAAGACGCTTGCCAAGATGGTTGAATCCCAAGATGTAAAGATTTGACAGTTAAACAATCATGAGAAGAAATTCTACACTGCAAGAACTGTTTTCACCCAAGGAACGGGTGGAATTACAGTCGAGTTAGGATGTTAACTTGGTTCTCAGACTCTTTCCTCACTACACCTTCACAGGCTGCTAATATTAAACCTTTCAGTACTCTGTAGAATACAAGCTGGGAACTTCTCAACACTTCATTCTTTATATATGGACAGCTTTATTTTAAATGTGGTTTTTGATGCCTTTTTTTTTATTGGGTTTTTATGAACTGCATCAAGACTTCAATCCTGATTAATAAGTCTCCAGTCAAACTCTGGGTACTGAATTACTTGTTCATAAAATGGTGCTTTCTATGAAAGCCTTAAGAAGATAAATGAATTCAGCAGAGATGGAGAATATACACTTTTGCCTTCTACCGGGGAAATTTAATCTATTTGTATTCTACCTTTGTAAACAACCTATGGATTATGATCTGTTTGGGATACTGTTTAGTTTATGATGGTTTGTCATGCCTTGATAATGGTGTGTGTGTGTGTGTGTGTGTACACACGTGCATACCAGGATTCCTCTGCTGCCATTTGAATTAGAAGAAAATAATTTATGAATGCATGGGAAGATATTGGTGGCTGTTGGTTTTGTGCTTTAAAAATGCATTATCTGACCAAGATTTGCCAATCACTTAAAAGCCATTTACCTTGCAAGTGAGCTAGCTTCTCCACCAACTTTATTTTTTAACATAAAAGTTGATATAAAGGCCAAAAGAGGTTTAAAGTGTCTGTAAATTTAGACTATTTTGCTCTTACCACCATCTTTTTTCTTTTTTTTTTTTAATTATTATTTTTGTCATGAAAAGCATCCTATCCAAAGTTGGGACTTCCAATTCCATGAACCTTCTAAAGAAAAACACTTCTTAGTGAAGTGAATTACTAATTACTGCATTTGATAACAATGTAAGTGCCTATAACCATGTTCTGTATTCTTTATTCTCAGTAACTTTTAAAAGGGAAGTTATTTATATTTTGTGTGTAATGTGCTTTATTTGCAAAACACCTGCTCCTTTAAAACCATATTTTATGTATGTACATATATTCATGCTATAGAAACCAGCTCACAGGTACCTCACATCCCATCCTTAAGGGAGAAAATTAAAAGATCATCAGAAAAAATGTTATAAAATAGAACTACATGTAAATTTTCAGAATTAATGCATTCAAAATAGTATATCAAATCTAGGACTTTGTTAACTTCGGGAATAGACTTTCGTTAAGATACTGTCATCTCAATTTTCCTTTATGAAAAGATCCCCTAATTAGAACTTTCTTTTTCAGAGCTGATACAAATTTATCAACAACTGTTTTAGACATTTAAATCATTTGAGATTTTTTGTTTTATAATTTCTGTTCCATAACTTGTAAAGACCATGAAGAGAGGCAAAAAAGTTGAGTGTCTAGTCAGTACCTAATCTATACCATCTAGCTGTTATTCAGTAAAATACGACATACATTATGGATGCCTTGTTGTCCCAAGGAATAATTCTGATTTATTTAAACTTATTACACTTCTATAATGCCTTTTTTTATGTGTGTGTGAGGAAGACTGGCCCTGAGCTAACATCCGTTGCCAGTCTTCATCTTTTTGCTGAGGAAGATTAGCCCTGAGCTAACATCTGTGCCAATCTTCCTCTAATTTGTATGTGGGTCACCACCACAGCATGGCTTGCTGAGTGGTGCATAGGTCCATGCCTGGGATCTGAACCTGCGAACCCTGAGCTGCCAAAGCAGAGTGTGCGAACTTAACTGCTATGCCACTGGGCCCGCCCCCTGTAATGCCTTCTAAATAGAACTCATGGGTGCATAAATTGAGACAGTTTTCTTTGAATATAACATAAAATAAATGTGATTATATCACAACATAGTTTTTAAAAACTGTAAGTTGAAGGGGAGAAATTAGAGCATGTATCGATCCATTACCAAAAATTTGACTGGCATTTAAGGATGAAACTCCTATATATTTGTCTAAACATCAAATTTCACAAATTTGAAATTTGCCTTAACGGATTTGACCAGGTTTAATAATTTTCATCTAACATAATGAAAGTTTGAACTGTTCATCAAGATAGGTAAATTTACATATTGATAGTACGCAATAACTTGCTCTTTGAGAATGTTTTCCCGTCTGAGAAATACAGATATACAGATATTTTGATCTAAATCGCCATTTGATTTAAGAACACTTAAAGCTCTGATCTACTTAATCTAAAGTTAACTTGGATTTATTTTTTATTTGATAAACTATAAATCTTGAAAGTCATTTGTCATCTTAATAAAGAAAATATGTAGGGAAAAGCAAACTCTCAGAAATGTTAAAATAGTATGCGGAAGTGAAAAATGACAGAGTATATAAGTACAAGACCACTATAATAATTTTTTAAATTAAATTGATCTATTAAAAGTGATATCTAGAATTAACCTTAGAAACTTGTTCAATAAAAATATTTTCTTGTATAACATGTTCTTTAAAAAGGAAACGATGCCATGTTTGAAGTCCTAAAGTCTAAAAAAAAGTTGCATGAAACTTATTTTCTTCTTTCCTTATTCTTACTCTTAAATTTCTAAGTTCATCCAGCAAGTGAAATACTTAAAGAATAAGAGGAAGTATTGGGTAGTACCATAGTTAATAATTTGTAAAACTCTAGAAGCCATTATTAGGTCCGGTTTACAATTTAGCGTTTTAAAAATGTGTGGCTTTGTCTTCCCTTTAAATAATTAAAACATAAAAGCAAACAAAAAACCAAAGCTACCTGACTATAAATAACAAAAGTTAACCCTCAAAGAAAATTATTCTTCTAAGTTCTCTTTATGCTGGTAAATATCTCTAGAATTAAAGGCACACAAAGATTGACTCCAATGTGTTCATTCTAAGCTTTCCGTGTGCTTTCTTATTGAACAAGTTTCTGAAGTATAAAATTTGAATCTAATTTCTCTGGAAGTGTTTTCACAAAAGATATTTCAATCAACATTGTACGTTGCCTTTCCAATGTTCAGAAGTGTTTCTAAGCTTAGAAAGTGACCTATAGTTTTTGAGAATTATGTTTTCCTAGAATGTGCCAGATTTTTAATTTATTCACTACCTTTTTTTTCCCAGATGCTTTGCTTCTGTTTAGAACAAAAATGCAATACAATTTTTAAAGAACCGTACATCTCTAAGTTGGCCCAAAATCAAATTCGATATTGAATAATTTATTCCAGGCAAGATTTCATAAATTAAATTGCTTACGTTTCTTGTTATACATGTTGTTTTGAAATATTTCTAAATATTTAAAATAATTTCAACAGAAGAAGTACTAATTGATTTTTTTTAAAAAGATTGTTGCAGCTCTTATACTGTTTAAAGTGGTAATATTTATTATTTGCTTGGGTCAGATGTTAAAATAGTGTAGCAGTTCATCTTCTTGCCTCAGTGCTGTTACGAGAGTCACAATAAAAACTGCAGAGAGCTGACATGTTCATAAAAACTAATCTAGGGCAGCAGCATATGAAGCCACGTGTAATGATCATCCCATAAGGAAAGTATGTGAATATGGCTTTTGCAAAGGATTAAATATATTGTAATTTTAGCTCGTGCTCTGTACTATGCTTTCAATGGAATTATTTAAGCCCTTTTAGTGACTGTTGTCCTTGCCTGTTTAAAAACTAAAATGTGGTATATATTGTATAAAATGAAAATATCATTGTAGCTTAATTAGGGAAGTTGTACATAGACATTGAAAGGGTTAAAAACAAGCAGTTTTATTATGCAATTGTAAAACACCAAAAATATAGATTCATCTTTGATATGTAACACACTAAATGTATTTTGTACAGCATCTGGTTTAAAAGGTGCCTTAAGTTTACCGTTAATTGCTTATTCTATATATAGATTATGTTCAATGTATCATTTTTAAGTAAATAACCTTATTTTAGTATACTTTAGTGATGTGTTTTGTGATACTGTACTCGGACTGTATTGTGTACCAAAAGTCACATGTCTGGTGAGATTTTATAACAGATACGTTAGTGTACACACACATGTCCCTGAATTGTGCATTTCAGCTATCAGAAACCCAGTATGGAGCAGAGGGCAGGTAAGTGACCATGCACTCTTTCCTGTGTGTCAATAGAGAGGTTATTTTAAAAGGGGGGAGGTTGTTTTCCTTGAAAAAAATTTTTTTTCTAATTCTAAAAATGTGTACTCATTGCAGAAATTTTAGAAAACAGGAAAGAATAAAGAAGCAAATAAAATCATTCAAAATTTTATTGCCACGTTACCACTATTTATATTTGAATACTTTGTCTTTTTTTCTGCTGCATACTCTTTTACAATATTAAGATCATAGTATGTCATTTTATATCCATTGAAAACATAATTTAAAAAAATTGACTACAGAATATTCCACCAAGTAGCTGGAATAATTAATTTTTGTAATTCCCTGTTGAATATTTGGATTATTTCCATTGTTTTGGAAAATATAATCAATGTATTGAACATCCTGTACAAAAATCTTTGTATATTTATTTTCTTAGATTACATTCCTAAAAATGGGACTAGTAGATATGAACTTTTAAAAGATTATTTAAGATGAAAAAGAAATGTAAGGTTCTTGATAAATATTGCCATATTGCTGCCCAGAAGGGTTTCTCATTTACACTCCTACTGGCAGTATGAGAGAGTGCTCATCTCACTACCTGGGCAGGTAATTTCTTCCAAGTGTTTTCTCTTCCTGCTAGTGTAGTGCCTGGTTTCTTGTCCTATAACTGGCTTCTTTTACTTAGAGTAATGGAATCCATTTATCCGGCCTTATGTTGTTCCTGCCACAGCAAATGCTTTTTTAAAAGCTTGAACTTCAGGGAAGTAAAGGTAGCTTTCCTTCTGTTCTGCAATAATACCATTTTCCCTCCTGCGCTAAGTTTCAACCCCCGTCGTCAGAGCTGTTTTCAGTTGTGTGTCAATTCACTCGGTTGGTGTGCCTCGTAATGCCTTTTCTTAGACACGTGAATGTGTTAAATCCTCATAAAAGATTTGGGACTAGTTGATGTCTCCCCTCTAAAAATGCATGTTTGGAGGTGGCCTGTTACAGAGTCCTTACGGGAACCCCCATTTATTGTCAGCGTAAGACATTTTCTTGAAACAATACCGTGCACTCTAATGTGGCTTGATAAAGAAGAATCAGGGATTCCTGGGCCTGTCAAATACTCGCTAGCTTTCCTTCCATCCATCTTTTGCTGACCCCAAAACTGGACAAATATATTCATTTTTCCCTCCCAGCATAATCTGTCATTCTTACGGAAGAGTGACTATTTCCAAGGTTTCTTTAATATTATTAGTATGAATAGAGACATTAAGAAAGAAGGGCACAGTTCTTCCAAAATAGTCTAATCTTGGTAGGTAATTTCTAGCAGACGCTAATTCAGTCATTAAGTCTTCATTCACTTGGAGAAATATTTCTCTGCCTCTTGCTAGTGCGTGGACCATTTCTGGCACTTCACATTTTATTAAGTTAGATGCATATCCCTAAAAAACCTTGCTTCAGTCCTTGGAGCAGTACATCCTTGACTAAGTGGACATGGTCCACGGAAGGTAGCCAGCCAGTAGTGTAGGCAGAGGCCACCCAATGGCAGTGGCACTGTTCTTGTCCTGGGGAGTTAACTACCATGCACTCAGGGTGAGAGCAGAAAAAGCTGGGAATCAGGAGGAGGAGACTTGGCTCAAGTGCAAAGGTACATACGAAGTATTTCAGAAGCAGAGACTAGGGCTGAAAGGTGAATGCATAATTGCCTTTGAGGGGGGAATTATTATTCTCATCTTTAGATGGCGTGTGTGTGGGCTGCCTGTTACTCCTCTGAACTTGATCCTCCTGGTCTTGGTCCAGTTCCTTCACTCTGAGTGTCCCGTGTAAGCTCAGAATGAGCTTCAAGGTGATTCTAGATGCCCCCGTGCTCCCTACATCCACCTCACTACTCATACTCGAAGTGTTATACAGGGAACCTGAAATGTTACCATGATGTAAAAGTCAGTATGAAATACTTATATTGAAATATCGTCAAGCTAGAAGAAGAAAGAACTTGAGTCTTTTTTTTTTTTTTGAGGGGGGAGCCATTTTTTAAAGCAAATTTAGAATGAGGTTGATGAAGCACATCTGTTCTCGGATGCTTTACTGTATGACTCAGATCCAAGGAAGTGTTGAAAAAAGGATGAAGAAAGAACTGAAAGGCTGAGGTAAAAAAGGCCAACATGCATTTCAATCAGACACTTAAAAAGTGATTATTATTATTTGGTTCTGTGTTCATACTTGGCTAGCAGTTTGGCTGGAGAGTCTAACTCTGAGGATGTTGCTCCATAGGCGTCCAGCGTCCCTGCTGCCAGTAAGAAGCCTAGTGTGTGTCTGATTCAGTACTCTGTAGCTTAACTTTTTTTCATTCAAGAAACAATTTTCTTTTTGTTTTTGATATTTTTAAGTTTAAACTTGCTGTGTCTAAATGCATTCATTCTGTTATTCTGTACTAATTGGGTCCTTTTAATCTTTCCTTGGATCTGGGAACTTTTCTCCATTATTTTGTTACTTCTTCCTTTCCCTTCTTTTACTTTTCTCTCTCTAGAACTCTATTAGACAAATAGTAGGTCTCCCAGATGCTTCTGTATTTCTTTCTTTCTTTTTTTTTTTTGAGGAAGATTGGCCCTGTGCTAACATCTGTTGCCAATCTTCCTCTTTTTTTTTTTCTCCCCAAAGCCCCAGTACACAGTTGTATAGTTGTAGCTCTTCTATGTGGGACGCTGCCTCAGCATGGCTTGATAAGCAGTGAGTAGGTCCACGCCCAGGATCCGACCCTCAAACCCCAGGCCACCAAAGCGGAACGTGGGAACTTAACTGCAACACCACCGAGCCGGCCCCATTCCGTATTTCTTGACATGTCTCTCATATGTTCCATCCCATGCTATCTTCCGCTTTTCAGCCCATCTACTGAGGTTTTTTTATTTCAACAACCAAATTTTAACTTTATTTTTATTTTGAAATAATTTCAAACTTCCAGAAAAAGTTGTAGGAATAGTATAAAGAATGCCATTTACCCTTCACCCAGATTCATAAACTGTTACATGTTGCCACGGTTGCTTTGTCATTCTGTGTGTGTGTGTGTGTATAAGAATTACAAAGGCTCATCTTGAAATGTTTGTGTACCCACACACATACTTTTTTCTGAACTACTTGGAGTAAATTACAGAGCTCATGCCTCTCTATCTGCAAATACTTCAGGGATATTCTGTTACATAACCAATTATCTACAGTTACCAAAACCAGGAAAGTTAACATTGATAACCATAACAATTCTCAGCAATGCCATCATCTGCAAACCTTATTCAAGTTCTGCCAATTGTCCTAATAAAGTCCTTGAACACGTTTTCCTGGTCCAGAATCCGTCTAGGATCTTGCATTGCATTTAGTTGTCATGTCGCCTTAGTGTCCTTTAATCTGAAATAGTTCCGCAGCTTTTGACCTTTGTGATACTGACGTGTTCTAGAGTAAAGGCCAGTGATTTTGTGGACATGATGTTGTGTCCTCCTCAGGGCATCCCATCAGGAGGCCATGGCCTCCGCGTGTCCTGTTATTGATGATGTCATTGTCGATGACTTGTTTAAGGCAATACCTAGTTTTTTTACTGTAAAGGTACTGTTTTCCCTTTGTAATTAGTATGTTATGGGTGATACTTGGAGACTGTGTTTTAGCATCCGTTGATAATTCTTATGTGACTCAGTGGTTACAAAGTGGTGATTTTCTAATTCCATTATCACATCTACATTTATGAATTGGCATTCTGCTGTAAGGAAGAAGTCTTCTGTTCTCGTTTACTTTTTATTAGTAGTATGGATTCTTATTTTATTCAGTGAGTTATAGTCTATTAGGTCATTATTTGTTTTGATGCTCAGACTGACCCAGACTTGGCTACTGGAGTTCACCAGGCTGGCTCTTGAGTCCTTTGACATGTGCCCATCGTTATTTAAGCACTTCTTACTTTTTGGCACATTAAGATGTTCCAAGCTCATCTTGTAGTTTCCTTGCCCCATATGGAGTCAGCCATTTCTCCAAGGCACTCTGGTTCCTTTTAGGGAGGGTGGTATTTAGAAACTAGGATCTGGGTGGCAAATAATCAAGATTTAAATTTCCAGGGCCGGCCCCATGGCTTAGCGGTTAAGTGCGCGCGCTCCGCTGCTGGCGGCCAGGGTTCGGATCCCGGGCGCGCACCAACGCACCGCTTCTCTGGCCATGCTGAGGCCACGTCCCACATGCAGCAACTAGAAGGATGTGCAGCTATGACATACAACTATCTACTGGGGCTTTGGGGGGAAAAAAATAAATCTTTAAAAAAAATAAAAATAAATTTCCAGTTTTCTGTATTGTTTCTAGAGATTTATATATTCCGAAGTCTTCAGTTTGTTGAGTTTGGGATCCTCTTGTTCATGACACTAGTCTTCCACTAGTGTTTGGCAGTTTGGGGAGTTGCTCATCTTTGTGTTAGTGAACCTGCTCCCCTCAGTTCTGTTTCCTCAGCTTCCTGTTCTATCAGGAGTGATGGACAACAGCTGTTTGTGAGGGCAGACAGAGGTAATCCTTTCCTCTCCTCGCCTACTCCAGAGGATTCAGGCTTTCCCCATTCTGCTGATTTACCTCCTCCATCCCCCTGAGTTTTGTCACTGCCTAGCCAGGTTGGGGGAGCCTTCTTGATGGAGGAGGATGGAGGAATGGTGGTCGGGCTAGAGCTGGGGGGAGTTACTGAGGTTTTCAAGGTAAACGTGGCTATCAGGAGCTTCAGAGTATGAGAGGAAAGGAGCCTTTTAAGAAACTTTTTATAGACTGTATCCTCTTCACAGTGTTTCTGAAATACAAGTGAAGGAGGTCAGGAGTTGTTTTGATGTTATGTTGTGGTTGTGGGGACACGTCTCTGGACTGACTCCCATGGGTCTTGATTTCAGTAAGGTTACACATGTCTTCTGGGTGTGGGGGCTTCCTGCCTCCGGAGAGTCAGTCGCTGCCCTGTACATGGGGGCACAGGGTTAACCTGCACTGCTCTGGCTTGAGGCAGAGGCCACTGCTGCTGGCTACTTTGCACAGGCAAGGCACACTAGGGACTGACTGCCTGCTGCTCAACTGCCCCTCCTCCATGGACCCCCCCCCCAAGTGTGTTAGGGGCTGTTTGAGTTAGGGGCTCCCCTGAAATCACTCCCATCTCTCCAGTGGTCTCAAATGTTTTGGGTTATGGCTTCCTATTGCTATTTCATTTTATACTGGATCCCCTTTACTTCCTATTCTTCAGGAATTACTGAAATTTCCTGATTTGCTTATGGTACCCTTTCATGTTTTTCAATGACACTTTTGAATATTTTTATATGTATTTTTTCCATCAGGTTTGGGGAGGTATGATACCACTCTGTGCTCAGTCAGTCGTCTTGTTCTGGATGCCACAAGTAAGGGGTGTTTTACCATTGGCCTAGGTAATGGGGGATCTGCTTGCAGCGCACTGAAAAAGAGTCTCCACTCAGAGATATTAGATGCTTAGTTGAGATAAGTAATCTATCAAATGAACTGTAGAATTCTTGTTAATCTGGGGTCCTAATTATAGAAGTGTTTCAACCGAAAATGTGCACTTAAACTGGATACTAACGTTTTGTGAAATTTGTTTTGTTCCATGGAAAGCACCCTATTTAAAGAACCGTTGTTTGTCTAGTTCTCATCCCAAAATCTTCTCTGGAGTGGCTCGTCCATGCTGCTGGTGGAGTTTACAGCTAGCACTTCCATTTATAACCTTGCTGTTGAAGGGCACCAGCCACGTGAGGGTTGGAGGACAGGTGCCCCTGCACTCCACTTAGTATGTGCAGTAAATTCTAGTGAAAATCTTCAGCGGTAAGACTGCATTACCCTAATGTTTCCACTTAGTCATCAGCCCAGCCTGACCAATAATAGCAAGATTGAGCAGAAAGAGGACAGCATGGTCTTTCCAGCAGCAAGGGTGACCTGGTACTGGCTTTCCAGTCTTTGGTCAGGAGTGGCCCACATACAGCATGCCTTGGGTCAGGATTGGTCTTGGCAACTGAGAGCTGCACTGGGCAAGAGGCCCTGGTCAGAGTGAAGGGCAGGCAGGCGAGAGTCAAACCTGTGGTCAAGATAATAAAATACCAGGATGCTTAGTGAGAGCTGTTCGACTAACCACCTCATACTACAGGTGGAAAAAGTTAGAGGTTGTGATCCACCCCAAGGTCAAACCATCAGTGGCAGAGTGGCCTGACATACTGTCCTTTTAACACTGATGTCTGAGCACACTGAGCACACCAAGCTTAGTGGGAAATCAGTTCTAAGGGACAATTATTTGAATTAACGACCCCTAGAAAACAATGAGAAGGACTAGGAACCTTGTTAACCCTGACAACCAATGCCTGTCCTTTTTCATGACCCAGTCCGATCTGATTTCCTTATGGAGAAGAGAATGTTCAACAAATACTGAATGCCTACTACCAAAAGAGATACATTTTCTGACAGCTAGATGACTGCTTTCCCAAGCCTGTTTGCTCTAGGATCTGTAACGTTTTGAAAACCGTGTATGTGTTGGTATTACAGGAGTAATTGCAACTCAAGCTGTACTATCTGGTCCAATATTAACGTCATTGCCTACTGTGGGGGCCTCTGGGTGTTTTATGTAGAATTAACTGAAATTGTGAAGTCAAATATGGCCTGAAATAATGAGTCACATTTATCCCAAATAGTTTTTATTTTGTCCCATATTTCTACCTACTTTACCAAATCTAGCTCTCCATAAGTAAACCAGGCAGAGATTGGAAGGGCATCACTTTATTCCAGAGTTGATAACTGAGGGAGATTTTGACAGCCTTCCTTCACTTCCTCCCTCAGCTCTCTTCCTCGTCAGAGGTACTAACAAGGAGGGTTGTCAGAAGCTATTGGAGGAGGAAAATAAGGTGAGGGCTGCACACATTTTAGTTCACATTTGGTATGTCTTGGCAAGGAGAAAAAAAGAAGTGAAATTAAAATTACAGGTAGGGGCCAGCCCCGTGGCGTAGCGGTTAAGTACGCTCGCTCCGCTGCTGGTGGCCCGGGTTCAGATCCCGGGCACAGGTGGAGGCACCGCTTGTCAGGCCATGCTGTGGTGGCGTCCCATATAAAGTGGAGGAAGATGGGCATGGATGTTAGCCCAGGGCCAATCTTCCTCAGCAAAAAAGAGGAGGATTGGCATGGTTGTTAGCTCAGGGCTGATCTTCCTCACAAAAAATTAAAAAAAATAAAATTACAGGTAAATTCAAGGGAGGACTAAAATAGCAAAAAATACTAATTTTGTTTCTCTTGGTTAACTCAACCAGGCCTTTGTCTCTATTTCTGACTGATAGAGACCAAACAGGTTGGTTTTCTCCTACTGCCCTATAGTGGGTAGAGACTGGTTTCCAACATTGTCCAAAATGTCACCTTCATTTTACACGTATTCCTTCCAGGAAAAAGTGGTTTTCTAGCATAAGATTAGGGAGAAAGGTTTAAAGTATTGTACGGAAGTTTCCAACCACAGGAGGAGCAAAACACCAAAGAAGCTGTGGAAGACAGGGTGTGGCAGAGAGCTGGAGTCCGAGGCATGCTGCCTCAGAAGGCAGGCCAAGCCGACATTCACACTTCCCCGGACCAGGTCCTGCCCAGAGAGGAGCATTCCAGTCCTTCTCATCATCAAGAAATAACCAAGCCCAATACATCTAGAGGCAGGCCACGTATATCACACTGTCTTTGCAGATTTCCAGGCAAGAGCTAGACCAACTGGATGGTCTCCAGAGCCCTAGGCCAAGGAGAGCTGGGCGAGTCCACGATGTCTGGTCAGAGCTGTGCCCGGTGTTCACGTCTTGAACATCAGGAAGCCCCCGAAGGCAGTGCCCGGGCTGCTCCTTATTACTGATCCCTGGGTTAACTCAAACCAGACTCTCTCACCCTTCTGCAGCTCAGCCATGGCAAAGGTCGTTGCCGTGCTTCCACCCCTCTGCTCCTCAGTGGTACCGACAGGGGTCCGATGGTGACCTCCAAACACCAGCTGCCCGGCGCCTGGCCCTGGGCCAAATTCAATGCTTACTGCAAATAGGTAGACCCCACGCTCAGGGGCTCGGAAGTAGCCGTGTTCAGGGAAGTAGCTGCTGCCAACGTTGATGTAAGTAGTGTTGAACTTCACTGTCTGTAGGGCAGCCATCCCTTCTGAAAAGCTGGCATAGAAGGCCACAGGAGAACCTGGAACACAGGAGGAAGGTGCTCAGTGGCTCAGCTCCTCAATCCCTTGGATGGGAAATTAAACCCCGAGATCTGCCTTCCTCACCTTATTAACAGAAATAGGTCACCATTTCTAGATAACCTAGGTATTCCCAACAGCAGTGTGTCTCAAGGTGTGGGAGGAACCAGCCAGCTCTCCATGTTTCACTAATTGAGAGAAGGGGAAATACGAGTCTTTGGTCTCTACTCGTGTACATTTTAAAGCACTTTCTTGTTTGATCCCTTTTCCTTCCAACTTCCTTGAGAGATAAGAACCCTGATTGAGGAATTTTTGAGTCTTCAGTGCTTAACTGGTTGCCCAAGGCTGCATGGCTTGTAAATGGCAGGCTGGAACAGGGGCCCAGGTCTCTGACTCCCAGACTACTGCCACCTGCTAGGGATCTGGAGCTATCCAAGGCAAATAGAAAATATTACCTATTCTCAAGGTTCAGTGCTAACACCTGTAAGAGAAGGAAGGAAGTGAAGGGTGGTTCCTGCGGGATGTTCAGCGCAGGACCTTAGGAGAGAGAAGGAAAGAGCAGGTGGGACCAGGGAAGAAAAATCTTTTTCAAGCTGGTCATCTTAATATTTCCAAAATGTTGCACAGAGCCCTGGGATTACAGATGGGAAAACTGAGGCCCAGAAAGGGAAAGCTTGCTCCAGATGACACAACTAATACATTACCTAATGGGAGCTGCCCTTGGATCTGCTGATTCCTGGGTGCCCACCCACTTGAGGAAGCACTTCAGCCAGCCTTTGGAGGGTAAGTAGGTCAGAGAGAACACAGGTGTGCGGCCCACCAGCCCACACGCAGGCATGGAGCCAGAGGAAGCGCTCTCTGTGTAGAGAGCGAATGTACAGTGACGAAGGAGCCAACCGAGCTGCCTGGCCAAGAAGCTCAGGCGGGAGGACAGGGCCAGGAGATGGGACAGGGAGGGTGCGTCCCACTGGGGTTCCGCCCATGACACTGGCCTTGGCACTGACAAGGTCATGATCCCCATGTTCTCTCTCTCTCAGGAGGAGCAATTTGCGTAGCAGTTAGTGACTTAGGACCCAGAACCAGAGCCCCAGCTCTTTGGCTCCCGGTCCAGCAATAGCCTCTTGAATGACAAAGTCTGGCTTTTCTCTAGTTCTGGAAGATTTTCTGAGAATTACTTCCGAATAGCTTTCTCGTTTGTCTAAGATGGTGTCACCTCGAAGGCCGGCTGCTGGCCCTGCAGTTCCCCCAGCACCCAGGAGGTGGGGCGCTCGCCCAGCCGAAGGAAGGCCGGCCTGGAGCGCCCTCTGCCGGCGCTTGGGCCCCCTTGCACCGGGGGGCGCCAGCCTGCTCGCAGCTTGGAGTTTTAGAGGGAGACCGCACCCTGCCAGTGGGCCCAACTGCCCCTCAGAAGCTGGAAGCGTTGTGCTTCACTGACTTGCCAGCAGGAAAACTGAGAGTGGGCTTCCCTGCAGGGCACAAATTCAAGCCCTCTGGCCTTTCTGCAAGACAAATAAGGGAGAATTTTTATTTTTAATCTTAAGAAAAAAATTATTTTGAGATAAAATATTGCAGTGGTAAAACTCAGATACCTAAACCATCAAGCAATTGAGGTCTTGCACCACTCAAAAAACGATGGAAGAGTTAGTGTAGGCGGACACAGCCCAGCCCTGAAAACAGTGACTACTAAATGTTAAGCTTTTTGCTAGGTCTTTGGTAAATGTGTGGATTAGTCTTCACAACAACCCTTCAATGTCGGTTCTCCCCTTTACAGAAGGAGAAACTGAGAGAAGTAAGTGGTGCCAGAGCCTGTGCTCTGTCCACTGCCTCGGGCCTCAGGCCATAACGAGGCTCAGCAGGAGCAGAGCGGGCTTGGGGTGGGACCTGCAGCGAGGCCTCGGACTTCCCACATGCCAGGCTACACCAGAGTACAGATGGCCCGGATGGCAGCCTTGTACTTAGCCCCGTGTCTGGGCGAGGAGGTGGCTATGGCCCTGAGGCCAGCATCCCTGGCAGGGGAGAGTCTCTGGAGGCACAGAGCCTAGTGGACCCCTTCCCAGGGCCACACTCAGGGAAAGGATGGGACTGTCAGCTGCAATCGCCTCAGCCTCAGAGCCAGCTTCCCAGCCTGGGTCCCCAGGGCCCTGCAGGGACCAGCCATCGAGTGCCTTTCCCGGGGAAAAGCCAGCACCCTAGAGACAGCTGGACTGGGTTCCGAGCTCCTCTGTGCCACTCACTAGCAGTGTGGGCAGGATACTTCCCCTGTCTGAGCCTCAGTTTCAGGTAAGATGGCAGTGATGATGCATCCTGGAGCTGTTGTCATGATTCAACATGGCAAAGCCCAAGAAGGGCAGTGCAGGGGACCTGGTGCAGAGCAGCAAGACGGGTCAACTATGTAGCAGAGAGAATGAGTTCCTTTCAGGGCCCAAGCCCCACCCCGTGTTCACCTCTGTGTCACCCCACGGCAGGTGACACCAGCCCCTATCCACACACCACCTGTACACAGGGGAAAGCTGGTTAAAGACACATGGGTGAAGTGGGGTCCCACGAGAGCTGAGATGGAGGGATTTGAGGGTGTGCCCTGGAAGCAAGAGAGGCATTCCCCCTCCCGGCTGTATGGTTAGAGGGGCAAGCGGCCAGCGGTGTATATATGAGCCTCCAACGTTTACATGGAGGGGCTTTGCCTGTTCTTTGATGGTTTGTTCTTGTGACTTCTACCTCCTTACACTCCAGGTAGCTTAAGAGACCCCTAGCCCTGAATGGAAGGTGGGCCAAGGGCAAGGCCGGCCCTAAGTAGTCCTGACTGGTGGTCATCGTGTTCTCTTTCACTCGCGGTCCCTCTGAAGCAGAAGAGCTGCTTGCACGCAGCCCTGTCCTTGACTCGCCCAGTCTCCCTGGGCACAGGAACTCACCTGCTTCCCACAGCACTGGCCCTTTGATATGCGCATCCGCTTGCTTCTTGTCCCTCCTCCGGGGATCTTCCAGATCTTTCTGCTTTTTCTTCCCTTTCCTGCTCAGCATGGCCTGAAGCTTCCCCAGGTCCAGGCTGATGTTGGCCGCCACAAGCCCCTGGAAGTTCCCGAAGAGGCTGTGGAAGAGCCGCTGGTGCTGCTCCAAGCCACGCTCGGTGGCGGAGAGCGCGCCATGGAGGCCCTCGAGGGAGCCGTTGAGGGAGGCGGCCCACGAGGCCTCGCAGCAGCGCCCCAGTCGCTGGACGGCGGAGTCCAGGCGCTGCAGCTCCCGCGCCAGCCCGTCCACGTCGGTCCCGCCGGCCTCCTCTCGCCGCGCGTCCTGGCTGGGCTCCAGGCGCTGCGCCGCCTGCTCCAGGGCCGCCACCCGGGCGGCCAGCGCGTCCCAGCCGA